CTCGGGAAACCATCCCACACGCCGGGGTCGGCTCCCATCCTCGGGAGACCATCCCACACGCGCGGGCTTAGAGCACTGTCTCACCTCCTGTGCTGGCGCTTCCACTTCTTGCTCCGCTTAGCGGGCGTCTCCCCCACTCTGAGCGATGCCGTGCGGCTCACTATGCGTCCCACGATTTCTGTCAGAACAGTCACACATACAGGCTTAGCATGGTCAGACAAGCGAACAAATCGACTGTGACAATGACACTAGACGGACAGCTTTTGTAAATGTGTAACATTATGCCAGACTTACTTCAGCTGACGGAGTTTGGCTTAAAAATGTTTTCTCGTTCCATTTTTCCTATCTCGAGCAGACAGTCACTATCCTTATAGGCACCTTTCAACCGCGTCAATTCGATACCAATTGAAGTATTGCCGCTTTGCACGCTATACCCAGCTGTGTCGCTAGAGGTAAAACACGGGCATAATGAAGGTACCGTTATCGAGCATTCGTATCCTATGGGGCCCTTGGTGATACAAACATCTTGTGAAATAAATACAGCATGATGAGATAGCTGCAACACGAAACGACTTAATGAATAACGACTGTAGGCCTAGCTTTCTACAGTAACCTATTTTTGTGTTTATGAACTGGTCTCATTCTACAAGAGCCTGTTTTCAGTGAAATGAACATCACTCAGGTGACTAACAGTAGAGGCGAACAGGGATGCAAGTGCTAATGACTGCATACGCAGAGCTGCAGCAAAATTGTCCTGTGATGCTTGGCTGCAGATGGAATCACCCACCTTTAGATTGGCGTTGACCTTCTTTGCGCCGTGCGTGTGCATTCGTTCGCCTCCACGGCCATCACGTCTAGGCCATGGGACAGCGACCAGCATCGAGCTGAGGTAACCCTTGCCGCTGCCCATGTCGACCACCTGGCTGATTTCACTCTCCGCCGCCAGGTGCGCCACTGTCGCGCCATAGGTCCACCTCGTGGAGCTTTTCACTGAAGAAACTGGTCGAGCCGCGGCAGGGCGGGCGCCGCGGGCGTTGGCGCGGCCAGCAGCCCGCAGTGGCCAGACGGTGCTGCCCAGCTGACCAGCAGCTCGTCCAGCGGCCCGGCCGGCAGCTGGCCGGGCGCGGCGGCCGGAGCTGGAGCAGCTGGTCACGCGGTAGACTAGACCAGCAGCGCCGCCGCAAGTCGCGCGGGCACTAGGCGGCGCCACTGGTCCTCAGTGATGAAGTTAAATGCCCAGACTGTTGGCGAGCGGCAGCAGCGGCTCCAGGAAGGCACGGCCCCTCCAGAGCCTCGTGCACGAGGCGCAGCGGCGCAGACATAGCCGGCAAAGGCGTATCAGTGCTGTGACCAGGCACTCCCCAAGTGATTCGCGCCGGGCCGGGCAGTGAACGCGGGGAGCCCGTTAAAAAAAACTTATCACTTATCCTGTTAACCACTTAGCCTGCTTGGAACCCACCGCTGGTCTCCTCGAGACAGGATCCGAGCTTTCCTGCGCTCGGTGCCGGCAGACGTCCACTCAAAACGAGATCTCCTTCTGCTCGCCGGCCGTCGGGTTCACCTTGAGCACGGCGCACACCTGGCGGAACTTGGCGCGCACAGTGTCCAACAGGGCGCTGACGTCGCTGTCGCGGCTTGTTGTGGCGCGGCAGCCGCTCGATCAGCCGCGTCAGACCAGCAGCAGGGGTCGCGCGGCGCCGCAGCTTGCTGCGACGGCCGCGTCAGAGGCGCCGTCGGCGGCCGCCAGCTGCGCCAGCGCCTGCTGCGCGAATCCGCCGTAGAAGCCGACCTCGGACGCCAGCTGCGCTGCCCGCTGGAAGCCAAGGCCCCGGCCCACGGCACGTGCCTCGGTGCAGCCTGCCTCGTGGCCCTCCTGAGATGGTTAGAGCGAGATGTTGGAATGATCTGCTACTCAAGCTGCACAATCTCTGGTCTTCAGCTCCTGAAGTGTGCATGGGCATAAACATGAGCATATGCATGAAAAAAGTCAGGAAAACAGGTTTAAAATGCATATGGAAAATGGCAACATGTATGAAAGGTACTGCTGTTTTATCATACAAAAAAAAAGCAAGAACTCCTTAATTTCAGTGAGCGTATACACATCTAGTCACTTGCACATGCTTTCAAATGTGAACTAACCACATACTGACCTAAAACAGGTCTTCAGTGCGACATTATTGCAAGCAAATAGGCTTAATGGAGATGTGACCTACCTTGTACCCTTGGTCTAGTTCAGTCTGTTCAGCAAAAACAATGCTATCAAATGCCTTGTCAATATCAACTGGTTCCATCTGAGGACACAAGGCCCAACAAGGCATTCATCAAACAGCAAGATATTTGTACCATTCACACAGTTAATCACCATTGCCTTGAAATCAATAGGTGCATTAACTTAAGAAGCTAATCAAATAGTAGATAGATAATAACAAAATACTCCTGCTCATCTTTACTGACAAGAAAAGGCTAGGAAACAAGGAAATTTATTATGGCTGGTGGCATACCAGCCTGCAAGCTATGACATGATTCAACATAATATTTGCGGGGCAAGGGTTCTTAAACTGTCTGGCTGAGTTACACAAATTATCTAATCTAAACTGTTTCCAATCCCAGTGGTTTCCAGGTGGTCTCCTTAGGTTTTAAATTAACACAGGAAATGTGGTATAGATGAAAAGCTGAACAGATCCAATTCTGGGGAAATGTGGTGTTTAAACACAGCTGGGATGTGCTGAGAGCATTCAGTTTATAAAAAAATTTGAAGTTGAAGCTCTATAAGCATTGGTGTAGCCAGGATACACTAATGCCAGGAATGAATTTCAAGGAATTGGGGCACTTTTAGTGAGAAGTGATTACATTTATCACTGTGGTAGCCCTCTTTTTGTTTTTGGAGGAGCTTAATAAACTTAAGGCCCATTCCAGTGTCTTAAGCCTGCTTTTTATACTTTAAAACCCAGATGGGCATCTTGAGCAGCCAGCATATAATGGGTCTTTTATCACAGGGCTTCTAACACCTCAGGCTGGGCTCCTAGGGCTTAAGGCCTCCAATGGCCACCACCACCTGCAGATAGGCCATGGCTCAAAATCTTACCCTACCTGGGCCGCCCCAGTGTTTGAGAACAGTGTTCCTGGTCAACAGGGGCTCATCCAGGGACAGAGTCATTGCTATTAGCATGGAAACCATGCCTGGGGACAGCGTATTGCTGGGCCCACTTCACACTTAGAGGCAAGCTATTATTAGGCTTCTTGGTTCCCACCTCATAGTTTATCTTCATAAAACTGTATTTGAACTATGATTCAGATACTAAATGGACAACAACACCCAGCAGGAGCTCAGGACAGATTTAACCCCCGACCTCAACCGGCCTTCCCTACCTCCAATCTGCAGGAACCTATTGTCAGTAGGCCTGCTACACATGGCTCCAATAATGTAGCAAGTGATGGCCCCCCATGCACCCATGCAGCCACACAACACACACCCTCCTGATTCTCATGGATCACAACAGTGCATTGGGGATCGTTACAACAATAGCACTGTGGCGCCTTCTGCAGGTGGATGCTCAGGCGTTTTGGCATCAGCTCGTCCCTGGCCGGCCCAACCGCACGGTCTGCCGGCTGAGGCGCGTCTAAAGCCGCGCCAGCACCATTCTCCACCTCTGGTTGACAATCCACGCACAACACAGACTCACCCAATTTAGTCACTTGGCCTCAACTAAAAACAGCCCACTTAGGTAGACATGTAAAATGGGACAATGCATTTAACACATTGCGACCCTTCATACAGCTACCAACAACGCATGCAACAAAATGCGGGTCTTGATACCATGCCATTGCATTCATGCTTATAACACATATGGGGCCGCGACATGGACACACACTTCCTTAGGTTGAAGGATGGACATGGGTATTCTTCAAGTACTTCACCTTTTTTAGAAGAAGAAAAATCTCCACCGCGAGCGTTTTACGCGCAGTGCGGCACGGGCTCAACTAGCTCGCGTTAGCAGGATTGCCCAACTTTGAAATCACACAATCCAAACGACACCTTTAGCACCAAAAATAAAGAACAGGCAATTAACCTCATTCACTACGTCGTTTCGACCACTGCTACTCACAATGCTCGCATGATTGCCTATCATCTTCAAGAAATAACCATCTGATAATATAATAATTTCGGCCACAAACAGGTCATATGATTTTTAACACGCGGACAGCCGACGACTTATAGCATGCACTAAAAGGGCAACATAAGCACCAAATTACGTACATTCGAGCAATTAAGAAAAGTATCCCAGTTCTTCACATTCGTGTCTCGAATTGATATTTCCAAACAGACAGCACAGAGAAAAACCCAACAATGTCGGCGGAACTGAAGCATTTCCAGCAGTCTTAAAAAACGGACCAAGCCACGGGAACCAGACACCGAAGCCAAGCCAACGTTTTCGGTGCGGTACATTGACGTATATTAGCGCAGTGCATCTCATACACGAGTCCGGATAATGTGATTCACACTTATTAGGACCAAACACATCGTGACGACATTGTCGCTTAACTACAACACTTGGATTCAATTAATATGACTACTCCGTTTGCCGTGACATGCTGCCATCATGCCGTGCAGAGGGACTATCGTAGTACCCTCTTAAAGTAGTGCACCTCTTGTACAGTTCCAACGAGCAATGCTTGAAATCGCTCTGACATCCAGAGACATACTCTGCCGAGATAATATGCCAACAGCCACCCTAAGGAAACGGATCAAGCCTCGGGAAACGAAGACTGAAGCAAGGCCAGCGTTTTCGGTACGGTACATATACGTCTGTTAGCGTAGTGCACCTCACACACGAGTCCGGATAATGCAATTCACACCCTTAGAACTGAACACGTCGTGCTGACAATGTCGATGGAACTGCAAGACTTCGGTCCGATGAATAAGACTCATGCATTGCCGTGAGATGCCGCCATCATGTCGTGCAGAGGGACTGTCGTAGCACCCCCTTAAAGTAGTGCACCTCTTGCACAATTCCAACGAGCAAGGCTTGAAATCGCTCTGACATCCAGAGACGTACTCTGCCGAGATATTATGCCAACAGCCACCCTAAGGAAACGGATCAAGCCCCAGGAAACGAAGACTGAAGCAAGGCCAGCGTTTCGGTACGGTACATATACGTCTATTAGCGTAGTGCGCCTTACACACGAGTCCGGATCATGCGATTCACACTTATTAGGACCAAACACATCTTGCTGATGATGTCGGTGGATATGCCAGACCACGGTCCGATGAACAAGACTCATGCATTGCCGTCAGATGTTGCCATCATTGGCGGACGGACCTGCAGTAGCACCCCTCTTCAAGTAGTACACCTCTGGTATAATTCCAATTGGCGGGACCTAAAAACCGCTCTGACATCCAAAGACATACTCTACCGAGATAATATGCCCATAAAAATCCTAAGGATACGGACCAAGCCTTGGAACCGAAGACTGAAGCTAGGCCAGCGTTTTCGGTACGGCACATATGCGTCTATTAGCGCAGTGCACCTCATGCACGAGTCCGGATCAGGCGATTCACACTTATGGAAATTAAACACATCGTGCTGACAATGGCGGTGGGACTGCGAAACTTCGGTCCGATGAATAAGACTGATGCATTGCCGTGAGATGCTGCCGTCATGTGCGGACAGGCTGTAGTAGCACCCACTTAAAGTAGTACACCTCTTGTATAATTCCGATTGGCGAGACCTAAAAACCACTCTGAAAGGCAAAGACACACCCCGCCGAGATAACATCCCGACACGAACCCTGAGGAACAAAGCCAAGCCCCGGGAACCGAGGACCGAAACAAAGGCAACGGTTTAGGTACGGTATATATACGTTTTAGTCGTGCGGTGCACCTGAAACAAGAGCCCTTACAACGCGATTCACACTAAGTAGAAATAAACACATTGTGCCGACAATGTCGGTTGAGCTGCAATGGTTTGATTCAATGAATAAGACTCATGCACTGTCGTGGGATGTCACCATCATGTGCGGACAGACTGTAGTAGCATCTTCTTAAAGTAGTGCGCCTCTTGCATAATTCGTTGGCGAGACCTAAAAACGGCTTTGTCATCCAAAGACACACTGTACCGAAATAACGTGTCAACAGCAATTCTAAGGGAACGGACCAAGCCCCGGAAACCGAAGACCGAAGCGAGGCCAACGTTTTCGGTACGGCACATATATATTTATAAGCGCAGCGTACCTTATACCATCGTCAGCAAGATGTGTTAAGTCCTAATAAGTGTGAATCGCATGATCCGGACTCGTGTGTGAGGTGCACTACGCTAACAGACGTATATGTACCGTACCGAAAACGCTGGCCTTGCTTCAGTCTTCGTTTCCCGGGGCTTGGTCCGTTTGCTTAGCGTGGCTGTTGGCATATTATCTCGGCAGAGTACGTCTTTGGATGTCAGAGCGGTTTCTAGGTCTCGCCAGTTGGAATTATACAAGAGGTGTACTACTTGAAGAGGGTGTTACTGCGGTCCGTCCGCCAATGATGGCAACATCTGACGGCAATGCATGAGTCTTATTCATCGGACCGAAGTCTTGCATATCCACCGACATCATCAGCAAGATGTGTTTGGTCCTAATAAGTGTGAATCGCATGATCCGGACTCGTGTATGAGGTGCACTACGCTAACAGACGTATATGTACCGTACCGAAAACGCTGGCCTTGCTTCAGTCTTCGTTTCCCGGGGCTTGGTCCGTTTTCTTAGGGTGGCTGTTGGCATATTATCTCGGCAGAGTATGTCTCTGGATTCAGAGCGATTTCAGGCCTTGCTCGTTGGAATTGTACAAGAGGTGCACTACTTTAAGAGGGTGCTACGACAGTCCCTCTGCACGACATGATGGCGGCATCTCACGGCAATGCATGAGTCTTATTCATCGGACCGACGTCTTGCATTTCCATCGACATTGTCAGCACGACGCGTTTATTTCTAATAAGTGTGAATCGCATTGTCCGGGCTCGTGTGTGAGGTGCACTACGCTAACAGACGTATATGTACCGTGCCGAAAACGCTGGCCTTGCTTCAGCCTTCGTTTCCCGGGGCTTGGTCCGTTTGCTTAGGGTGGCTGTTGGCATATTATCTCGGCAGAGTACGTCGTTGGATGTCAGAGCGGTTTCTAGGTCTCGCCAATTGGAATTATACAAGAGGTGTACTACTTGAAGAATGTGCTACTGCGGTCCGTCCGCCAATGACGGCAACATCTGACGACAATGCATAAGTCTTATTCATCGGACCGAAGTCTTGCATATCCACCGACATCGTCAGCAAGATGTGTTTAGTCCTAATAAGTGTGAATCGCATGATCCGGACTCGCGTGTGAGGTGCACTGCGCTAACAGACGTATATGTACCGTACCGAAAACGCTGGCCTTGCTTCAGTCTTCGTTTCCCGGGGCTTGGTCCGTTTGCTTAGCGTGGCTGTTGGCATATTATCTCGGCAGAGAACGTCTTTGGATGTCAGAGGGGTTTCTAGGTCTCGCCAATTGGAATTATACAAGAGGTGTACTACTTGAAGAGGGTGCTACTGCAGTCCGTCCGCCAATGATGGCAACATCTGACGGCAATGCATGAGTCTTATTCATCGGACCAAAGTCTTGCATATCCACCGACATCATCAGCAAGATGTGTTTGGTCCTAATAAGTGTGAATCGCATGATCCGGACTCGTGTATAAGGTGCACTACGCTAATAGACGTAAATGTACCGTACCGAAAACGCTGGCCTTGCTTCAGTCCTCGTTTCCCGGGGCGTGATCCGTTTCCTTAGGGTGGCTGTTGGCATAATATCTCGGCAGAGTATGTCTCTTGATGTCAGAGCGATTTCAAGCCTTGCTCGTTGGAATTGTGCAAGAGGTGCACTACTTTAAGGGGGTGCTACGACAGTCCCTCTGCACGACATGATTGCAGCATCTCACGGCAATGCCTGAGTCTTATTCATCGGACCGAAGTCTTGCAGTTCCATCGACATTGTCAGCACGACGTGTTCAGTTCTAAGGGTGTGAATTGCATTATCCGGACTCGTGTGTGAGGTGCACTACGCTAACAGACGTATATGTACCGTACCGAAAACGCTGGCCTTGCTTCAGTCTTCGTTTCCCGAGGCTTGATCCGTTTCCTTAGGGTGGCTGTTGGCATATTATCTCGGCAGAGTATGTCTCTAGATGTCAGAGCGATTTCAAGCCTTGCTCGTTGGAATTGTACAGGAGGTGCACTACTTTAAGAGGGTACTACGACAGTCCCTCTGCACATGATTGCAGCATGTCACGGCAAACGGAGAAGTCATATTAATTGAACCCAAGTGTTGTAGTTTAAGCGACAATGCCGTCACGATGTGTTTGGTCCTAGTAAGTGTGAATCACATTATCCGGACTCTTGTATGAGATGCACTGCGCTAATATACGTCAATGTACCGCACCGAAAACGTTGGCTTGGCTTCGGTGTTTGGTTCCCGTGGCTTGGTCCGTTTTTTAAGACTGCTGGAAATGCTTCAGTTCCGCCGACATTGTTGGGTTTTTTTCTGTGCTGTCTGTTTGGAAACATCAATTCGAGACACGAATGTGAAGAACTGGGATACTTTTCTTAATTGCTCGAATGTACATAATTTGGTGCTTATGTTGCCCTTTTAGTACATGCTATAAGTCGTCGGCTGTCCGCGTGTTAAAAATCATATGACCTGTTTGTGGCCGAAATTATTATATTATCAGATTGTTATTTCTTGAAGATGATAGGCAATCATGCGAGCATTGTGAGTAGCAGTGGTCGAAACGACGTAGTGAATGAGGTTAATTGCCTGCTCATTACTTTTGGTGCTAAAGATGTCGTTTGGATTGTATGATTTCAAAGTCGGGCAATCCTGCTAACGCGAGCTGGTTGAGCCCGTGCCGCACTGCGCGTAAAACGCTCGCGGTGGAGATTTTTCTTCTTCTAAAAAAGGTGAAGTACTTGAAGAAAACCTGGACATGAACCAAAGGCTACGTACGAATGCTTTACTCAGGCCCAGGAGACAGGTAGATTCCAGGCGCGGTAAGAACAACAACGCCCCATATAACGTCAATGACTTCAGCGGGTCCCCGTTCAAGTCCGTAAAGGTTCATCGAGGGCAAAGCTAACAGTTACAGCAAATACTGTAACGCTCAGGCCTGTCACAGTTGCGTCAGATATCCCACAAAATTGTAGCTCCATATCCAGCGATATGGTAGTCGGGTGTTCCGAACGAAGTTTTACTACCGATATATTTTGTACATAGAGGCTATCGCGTATTGAAATCATAATTCGTTTTGTTTTTTGAGAAAAATTAAGGTAAGTAGCAGCCAACAGAGAGTAGCAGTACACTTTTCGGATGTTTTCGCATGTTGCAGTAGTATCTTAATGCGGCAATGCGGAAAGGACATAGTGACAATTTACATGATACGATGCTCTACAAACCAGAGCCGATTGCATTAAGACTTGTCATTACATAAAGCATGGTTTTTTAGTCCAGCATGGAATGAACCTTGAAACTTGTCTCTCATATGCTTGTGTGAAATCGCACTTGCCTTTGGGAGGAAAGTCAATATCTGTGAATGTAAACGTCAACAAACCAAGTACCCGGTAAGTGCTGCCATCTATAACCACATCGCGCATGCTCAAAGCGTACGTCGCGCCAGCTCATGAGCGTCAGTGCCGTGGCGAGGCGCCGGTGGATCGGGTTCTGGAGCCGCGATGGACACCGCCGCGAGTGAGCTCCCCCACATCGTGTGCCTGCTGCGCGACTCACTGCCGCTGGAGCAGGATGACGTCAGCGTCTGCTTCGATCCGGCTCGCTTCGCCCGCAAGACGAACCCGGCTCAGGAGCAGGCCATCGACAGCCAATGGCGGCGCCAGTGCCGGCAAAACCCGCGCCTCTTCAACGGCTCCAAGTTCCGGTACGCCGGCCTGCGCTGGACCGGCGCGCCGCAGCTGCAGCTGGGGCTTACCAGCTACCGGGAGCACATCGGCACCAACTGCCGCGCCGGTCAGCGGCTGCTGCAGGAGGCGGGCGCGGCCGTGCACGGCGACCGGCAGGCGTTCCTGGCCGACCCACTGGGCGTCGGGGCGCTGCTGCTGACCGCCGACAACCGGTTGGCATTCGTGCGGCGTGCGCTCTGGACGGGCGAGTACCCGGGCCGGCTGGACCGGCCCGGCGGCCACGCCGAGCCGGACGAGCTGCCTCGCGCCGAGCTCGCCGAGCCGGCCGCCGTGCTCGACGAGGTGTTCGAGTCGGTGCGGCGCGAGCTACGCGACGAGCTGGGCGTGCCGCTGACGCACCTCAGCCGCGCGTACTTGACGGGCGTGCTGCGCGACCGCGACATGGGCGGCCGACCCACGCTCGAGTTCGTCGTCAGGTCAGTGGCGCCGTGTGGCGGCGCGGATGCGCGCCGCTCCTCGTGTGGCTGGTTTGGCGTTAGGACCATTTGGTTGGAGGTTACATTTCGGAAACTGCTGCGGGAGGAACGCGATGGGTCGGTCCGGTCCAGCGAGAAACAAGTGGTGTCGTTTAAGGTAGGCTGGGTTGCTCGCTTTTTCTAATGAACTCCACTTTCCATGGCCCGAGTCAGCCCTCAACCGCACTCCCCCACCCTGCCCGTGGGCAGTTCAATGCAAGTGGAGGTAATTCTAGATCATCGCCTTATGGAGGGCAAGCTTGGTGCGGATGAGATGCAACATTCTGCAGCACACTGCGCGGGTCGTAGGCTAGCGTGGGTGCGTATAGTCTGGCCTAAACTGGGCCAGCTCATGAGTCCCGGTCAGCGCCGTTCCCACGCCGGGCGCCGGTGTAACGTTCGCGTCGGGCAAGTCCGCCACAGTGCTTCAAGACGTGCTCTAGCGGTCTGTCTCACCGGGCTCGAGCTGTAGGAGGATCTTCTAGGGGGTCTGTCTACTTCACCCAGCGCGGATCTTACAAAGGGGTGCGTAAGAGTACAGCGCTGGGACGTCGCGAGCTTGGAGAAATTCCACCTACCGCACCGAACGTGGGTCACAGAAGCGGGTTGGTGGAGATCCACCTACCGCGCCGAACGTGGATCACGGGAGCGGGTTGGTGGAGTTCCACCTACCGCACCGAAGGTAGGTCACGGGAGCGGGTTGGTGGAGTTCCACCTACCGCACCGAACGTGGGTCACAGGAGCGGGTTGGTGGAGGTCCACCTACTGTACCGAACGTGGGTCACAGGAGCGGCTTGGTGAAGGTCCACGTGGTGCCCCGCACACCTTCCGTTGCAGCGGGTCGCGGCGTCATCTTTTCGCAGGCTCATGCCGACGCGCGAGCCATTGAGGCACAGTGTTTTTTTTTTTGTGCTTTAGCGGTGCGGTGGTCATGTGTACTCGTCTATCAAGGTTCACGCATAATTATGCCCTGTCCGCTGTCCTAGAGTTGGGTACATTCCTCAGTATTGTGTGTACTGCAGGCTTCGCTGTCCTAGAGCTGGATACATTCCTCAGTACCGTGTGTACTGCAGGCTGGTTTTCCGCGCTGGAGGGAGCACATAGGCACCAGCAAGCGATGATCGCTAGAGCAACGGACCAGCGACGTTATGGGACGGAAATGAGAGGTGGGCAGCTATATAAGTTTGACGCGGCGCTCAAGTTTGGACGAGTTTTCCCAGACTATGGAAAGACTTGTAGTCGTTAAGACAAAAATTACTATCCATCACTTGAATTAATCGCGTCATGGCCGCCTCCCATGCAGCCAAATTCTACCCATCGTTTTGGTCGTGTCACCTGTCCTGACGCTGAATTGTTTCATACACGATTTATTTGTCTTTTACTATTGTGTGAAGTAGTTCCGGCTTGTTTCGTCGCATCCGCGTCATTGCCTCTCACCGATAGGTGAACATTTACAGGCCACTGATCAGGTGTGATGTGGTGCGAGTTATCAGCAACTGCGCTGTGGATCTGTTTGTATATATTACCTTGGAACATGCTTCTCAGGTCTGCAATGGGCCATTAACAATTACACTGCCCTCCCAGTTCCTCGGCCAGCCTCTTCAGTGTCACTGTCGACAGGCTAGGCAGGCGTTTGCTGCCCGTAAATTTTAGAGCGCTTCAATTTCACATTCACCCTCTGATATCGTTAGCGACATATGACGGCGGCAGAGGAAGCTCTATACTTTGGCGACCGAAGACCTTAACAGACATAATAGGCCATCATATAAATGTATCATTGAAAGTGACGGCATGTTTGACATTGACTTGCTTTTCAGATAATGACTCAATTATCCGAATTCATCGTCTCTCACCATCTGAAAAACTGCGAAGAAGGGGCCTCGTGTTATTTCGTAACGTTTCATCGGTCACGTAACCGTTGTGATTTTCTCCTTCAGTTCTCCACGTGCACCCAATTACTGGAATGGGGCGTTCCATTCTTCGAATTGATGGCTCATATCCACCAGCAGCTGCTTCTTTTTACTCGCCTTTTTCCGTTAGTGGATCGGTCTAAAACCCGGCATCAGTTCATTTTTCTGCACTGCTCGATCATGCGATATTTTGTGATGATTTTGTTAGTGTTGATACGGCTGATACCGACATTGATAATCAGTGAAGCTGGGGAGTAGGCCCTCTTTTGAGCTCTTTTGAGACATGTTTCATTGAGAATGACAATCTGACAACTACAATGGGCAAATTTTCCACGGGGTTCAGTTTCTATGGTTTCAATAGCAACAGGTTTCGCTGAAATTTGTTCGAATTTCATGACACCTCTCTCGGAGAGGCCTCTCTCTTTCAAGACGCTGACGCCTCTCTCCTCCCCAGATGCTCACTGCCCTCGTCCGAACTGGAGCGGATCTACAATGAGGGCAAGCACGCGGAGGCGGACGAGTCGCTCGGCCTCGTCTTCCTGACGCGCCTCGAGCTCTTCTCGGACTCGTGCGTGATCCGCGTGCCCGAGCTGGACGAGGTCGACGCCGAGTGCCCCGGGGTGGCGCGGGAGGCGGCTGTGGCGCCGGCGGCAGCAGATGTGAACTGCACGGGGCCTGAACGCGACGACGGCGCCGCAGTGCACCACTGTGAGGAAGAGCAGGCGGGTGAGGCGGCGGCGCATGCCGAGGAGCCCAAGGCGCCTGCGGCCGCCGGACCGCCGGTGAGAGGTAAGGAGGCACCGAAGAAGAGGCGAAGGAATAAGAAGGACAAGAAGGCGGCGGCGGCTGCGGCGAGGAGCGAGGCGGCACAGCCTGCGGGGACGGGCGAGGCGGGCGGGCCGCGGCTGCGGTCGGAGTCGCTCGCCAACAACGTCAGCTCGCAGCTGGTCGCGTCGGACGCGGCGCTCGCCGACGCGACGTCATCGTCGGCCGACGCTGTGCTGCCGTCTGCCGAGCCGGGGAACCCCGCGTCGGCGGCCGACGCCGGAGACACCCAGGAGTCGCTGGAGGCGGCGCTGGCGCGCGTGGAGCTGGGCTCGGCAGCGGCGGAGACGGACGAGATCGTGGTGGTGCAGCAGAACGGGGTGGTGCTGCTGAAGACCGGCGAGCAGGTGACTGAGACAGTGATGCCGACGGCGCCGCTCAGCGGCCAGATTGAAACGCTTGCTGAGGTGGTCAACAACCCCGAGGTCAACGCTCCCGAGGGCGCCGACGCGGCGACGGCGGAAAAGAGCGTGGAAGAAGCGGAGCGCGAGAGGAAGGCGAAGCTGTGGGAGGAGATGACGCCGGCCTGCCGTGGAAGTCTGATGCTGCTGAAGCAGGTGCAGCTGAAGGGTTTCGTGTTCCGGTTTTGAGTGTTGCCGAGAGCACGGTGTTGGTGTGTACAACTGCCAGGGAGTCGGAGCTTGGCCGATATTACCCAGATATTACACCCGCGGGACGCTCTCGAGCCGTCCGTGTTACAGTACAATGCACGTTTACGTGTGCTGTTGTGTGTATACATTTGTGTGTGTGTGTGTGTGTGTGTGTGTGTGTGTGTGTGTGTGTGTGTGTGTGTGTGCGTGTGTCCTCCACAGCCTTGTGGGGCTCGTCCGTATAATAAACGATGCCAACGACAACGCGGCCGGAGCTGACTGGTAGGGACGCTGCTGCTCATGGTAAGCCTGGAGCCGTGCCTCGTTCAGTACGGCAGTGACTGTCGGAAACGTCCCTCCACGACACACGTGGCTGGTTTTGCTGCCGGCTTGGACAGCTGTGGGACCAGGACAGCGACAGCTGAGTTTTCGCGTGAATAGGTGGGACGCAGGAGCGCTGTTTCTGGCTCGTGTAATTGGAGCAGAAGCGCAGTACACATGTGCGAAGACCGCCACTGGTGTATCGCCTGTAGCTACACGACACGCTAGCTGGCAGTCCTTTATTTATTTGCCGGCATATGAGATAACGTGGGGTTAGGTTGTTCGGTACAATATGCACGGATATTTTTGACGGCTCAGATGCGGTGCGGTGTTACGGCCTGAGCAGCGCAGTCACGGCTTTTGGATAGAGCTCGTGAAACCGATTCCTTAGGTCAACAGCCGCAGCTCCATCGCTTCGGCAAGAAGCTGGAGCTGCACTCGTGGTTAGCCTGATCCAATCATATTGCGGGCCTGTAGGACTGTCTGAGGCGTTCACGCGAACCACCGGGGATAATGGCACTGCTGCCTGCCTATGTTGACTGCCTATGCTGACACATGTCTGGCTTCCGCATCACTCCTGAGAAGTCCGGCAGTGCACGGAAGTTGTCACAACAGCTCCTGTGCTGAAAGCCGCTTTGCGAGCGTGACGATGGCACCAACAGTGACGTCGCTGCAGCATGACTGTGGTAACGGCAGTGACGTCGCTGCAACCTAACGGTGGCAACGGCAGTGACGTCGCTGCAGCCTAACGATGGCAACGACAATGACATCACTGCAACCTAACGGTGGCAACAACAGTGACATCACTGCAACCTAACGGTGGCAACGGCAGTGATGTCGCTGCAGCGTGACGGTGGCAACGGCAGTGACGTCACTGCAACCTGACGGTGGCAACAGCAATGACGTCACTGCAACCTAACGGTGGCAACGGCAGTGACGTCGCTACAGCGTGACAGTGGCAACGGCAGTGACGTCGCTGCAGCGTGACATTGGCAACGGTAGTGACGTCAGTGCAGCATGACAGTGGCAACAACAGTGACGTCGCTGCAGCGTGACGGTGGTAACGACAGTGACGTCGCTGCAGCCTAACGGCGGCAACGACAGTGACGTCGGTGCAGCGTGACAGTGGCAACGGCAGTGACGTCACTGCAGCACGACAGTGGCAATGACAGTGATGTCGTTGCAGCGTGTCAGCGGCAGACAAGATATCAATCTAGCTCACCCTGCCTTGGATGGCTTGGGGAGACACTCGCGGGGACTAAGGAGACCGCTGAAGCGCACGCTGCGTGGCGTGCTCGGAGGAAACGATTTGATCCGGTTGCCGTGCTGGCAAATCGATGCAGAGACGTCCATCGTCAGCATAGCGTGATATTCGGAATTCGGTAGATCGCAGTGCCGTCATTACCCACTGGGATACTCTCCGACTATGCAGCGGTTCATCGCGGGATCGATCTTAGCTGCGCGCACCTGGCGAGCAATCCCTGGCCATTCCACTCGGCGCTCCACCCTGTCAGCTCCCAGCGCCACCCGCGAGTCCACTTGGCGGCGGCGGGCCGCCGTAGTCCCGACCTCCCTCCCCCGCCCCCTCCCGCTGCCCCTGCCCGCCCGCCGACCGCGCCGGCTCTAGCCAGGCGGGCGCTGGAGCGGTACATCCCAGGACCCGGGGCGGGGCCGCCCGTCGTGCTATTGATCACCGGTGCCCACTGCCCCCCCCCCCCCCCCCCCTCCTTCGCTCCGGGGTTCGTGACAATCGCAGTGTGTTGACGCTCACGGTAGGCTCGCTTCAGGAACGGGTGGCGTGCGACACCGTCGCACGGTGTGGGTGGTGACGGGCTTACGTTACTGGCAGGAAGGAATTATTTCCTGGTAACAGCCAGCTCACTCACCGCCTGTATTGGCATAGCAATGGTTCTATGCACTCATAACTGTAAAAATAAAACTGGAGGTACCCGATTGAGCACCGGGTGGAATTGCATGCCAGCCATGTAAAAGTGTCTGGCAGAGGCGTGGCCGAAGGGGGGTCGGGCGATGGTCATGGCTCCGGTAAACCAAGAGGTTTACTGTAGATACTAGGCGATTTCGCTGGAGTTCGGTCCAGGCTAGTAGAGTTCGCAGAGAATTTCACAGTTGGCCTTCCCTGAGGAAAATTACGGTTGCGTGCACAGTGCAAACCCAGTTGAAAACGAAATTCCAAAACCCTCCCACGAAACCAAAACATAAAGCATCCAATAAGAACGTTCGGACCAAATATAAAAGCGAAAGGGGGAAAGTGCGCATAATCGAGTTGCACCCGAGTTCTACCCGTTTCACCCAGGACTGGTGTCTCACGCCTCCCAGCATCCAGCTACGCCGTGTTTGCAAGCCGTGTCTGTGACGTGCTCCAGTGGCGACTCAGCGCTGTTACCAGCCACCCATATATACATATATATATATATATATATATATATATATATATATATATATATATATATATATATATATATGTCTGACGTCGTGGTTTAGGCCAGTGCCCTCTGATGTATCGAATTTTGCCTTTTCCAGCGCAAGAATTCAAAGTCGAAAGCTCCGGAAAGAAATCTCGTAGCTTTTCTTGCTCATAGCACGTTTGACTACTGTATCCAAAAGTGCATCCTACCATTCACGCCTGGTGTAACGACGCACGTGCACTTTTCACCTTCTAAACTATGAATGCACCCCCACCAGGAAGTCCTCTTAATCCCCGCATCGAGCGGTGGCACGTCCGTTCCCGCCCAGGCGCGTCCTGACCGCACGTCGCCAGTTGCGCCAGTGTGGTCGCGCCGGCCCGGTTCACCGGCGTCCCGGCACCTTACATCGTCCGACGGACCGACGGCCGCGAGGCGCCGCTCCGCCGCCGCGAGATCTGCTCACGCAGGGAGGGCCGCGGCGCCGCATCGATTTTCAGTGGGGCGCCAGCGGGGGCCCCCGCCTCTACGCTGGGGACAAAGGGAGCCGGCGAGGGGGGCCGCCGTGGGGGGGGGAGGGGGACGCAACAGACCATCCAGCGGCGGAGCAGGCAGGCAGCTCCGACCGCGCAGGCGCGGTGGGGAGGATCGAGAGTGCCGGAGGACGCGGCTCCGGGTCATGGTTCCTGGCTGTATGGCGTGCGCTGGAGGACGCGGCTCCGTGTCGTGGTTCCTGGCTGTTTGGCGAGCGCTGGAGGACGCGGCTCCGTGTCGTGGTTCCTGGCTGTTTGACGAGCGCTGGAGGACGTGGCTCCGGGTCGTGGTTCCTGGCTGTTTGACGAGCGCTGGAGGACGCGGCTCCGTGTCGTGGTTCCTGGCTGTTTGACGAGCGCTGGAGGACGTGGCTCCGGGTCGTGGTTCCTAGCTGTTTGCCGGGCAGCCTCGTATCACCTCGGCCAGTGCAAACACCGCCAGCTGAGCCAGATTTAGGGATTACGAAGGGGAGGGGAGCAGGCTTGATGCTGAGTCGGGCTACTGCATGTACTCCATTAGCAAGCCCTCGGGGGGGGGGGGGGGGTGAGGGATCACTGTGATCGCAATCTTTACATGGTTGTATATTATTGAGTAGCGGATCTTGTAGTATAAAGTAATTTGATGGATCTTGAAGAGTCACTGACCTACGACATATCAAGGTCAGGCCGTTATTGTCAGCGAAGGCCATTTCTAGTCAACCCTTCAATCTGGTGCGACAACGTAGTGTTCAACTGACCCAAATGAACACTACGTTCTCACATCAGACTAAAGAATCGACCGACGGCGTCGCATTAGACACAAATCAATTGACTCAGGGACAGGCATGAAAACCAGACCAAGGCCAAAGCCAACCTACTGTTTTACCCCAGAGCTTGCTTTATGGAGTCGTTTCTGATGTACAGTTAAAATTGATTAATAAGAAGGTAGGTTTTTGGTAACCTTGACCTTGTAGAGGTAAAAAAGGGAACAGAAAAGGTATTTAGGTTCATGACTGTTGCATGAGATCTAGGGGCACTTTGGACACCAATATCGACCTTCACCTTATTTGACACTATTTCATGGGTGTAGGAACGGGGGGCCAGGGGGCCATGCCCCCCCCCACTGTTCAAGGTAAGGGGCCAGCAATGTTAGCTGCCCCCCCCCCCCCCCACCCCCACTTTTTAGATTAAGGTCGCATTTGGCTTACTTTTTGCACTCCATTAAACATGTATGCCGATTTACCTAGTTTACCAGCCATCTCCCGTAAGATGCATCATCTTTTTCGTTTGCTTGTTGATCATCGCTTAGTGTTACAGCCGCGAGGCCGACGCCGCGTGGCCTAGAGACTGCAACGCCCGGCGTCGAAGCTGTTATTGCTATGACTTGCGAGCACGCATGTTTGACACCATATGACGTAGTTTTGTTATCAGTGATCAGCTCTGACAGGATCTGGAGCATTTCAATACGAACATGGGTTAGCCATGTTAATACAAATTGGAAACCCATTTCATCTACAATCTACAGTCAGGGACAACTCAACAGTTCTGAAGAACACAGATAAACATGGCAATGGAGTTTATGTGACAACCATCGGACTATCTGCGGTGATCAGGCATGCTTTTGCGTCAATGAGAGTTTCTGTGCTGATCCGGGGCTAAGTGTGCGAGTCAGAAGGCCTTCCGCGTCAGAGATGGGAACAATGTGATATGACATGTCCTTCTAATGGCCTCCGGATCGATTTACCAATTACGTCAAAAAGCTGGAACATGCCCACCCACAACCTGGACAGCAAGGACAAGGATGGTCTGGATTGCAACTTCTGTAAAACCGAAAAGTTTCGGCCATTGCAAGTGTCACCAGACGGCGGGCACCGTGTTAATCTGCCTTCTGGGCAGATAAATAGCTGCGAAAACACAAAAATAGAGATTTTACCTTCACT